GTAGTACCACATCTTCTTTATCCATTCATCCATCACTGGACGGATTTAGGTTGTTTCCATGTCCTGGCTATTGTAAATAGTGGTGAAGTTTGCTTCTGAAAAGGAGGGGGACCTGAGCGCAGGGAGGTTCAGTAGTTTACCCAAGGGGATCCAGCTACTAAGTAACAGATTCCCAGGTTCACTCCTAAATTTTCCTAATTTCAAAAACTTTGCCTTTCTCTGAGGTGCCTCCAAGGGTTTTAGAACCCCAGTGGCTGTATGCAATTTTCAAATAGATGCCTGGGCTGTGCCTTCAGATGCAGGTACCTGAGTTCAGTGTATTATTGACACACCACACCCATTTGGTGCTGTTGTCCTGGGATCTGGAACCCCACTTCCCAATGCAAGGGCCTTAGATGAGCTAGGAGGGAGCACAGGTTCAATCCCTGGCCAGGGAACTATTGATAAGATCCCATGTGCTGCATAGCTCAACCATAAAAAAAAAAATTACAAAGCAAAAGAATGATAGATTTGAATGCATAAATATAAAATTGTCCATACGTTAAGACATCAAAACAGGGATTATAAAGGAAAACAATGCAACAATTTGAAATTTTGCAACAAATTTCTTAAAAATTTAAGAACTGGATTAAAAAAGCATGAAGACATGAATATAAAATAGCTGAAAATACATGATTGGTATTTTGCCTCATTTATATCAATAGAAATGCAGGTTAATAAGCCATGAGATACTATTTTACCAATTTAAATACCCAATCAGATTTAAAGAAGGGGAGAACTCAACACTAATGTGGGTATAGTAGAGGAGTATTGTTTTGTGCTGGTGTGTTAGCCATTCAGTCATGTCAGACTCATTTGTGACCCCATGGACTGTAGCCCACCAGGCTTGTCTGTTTTCCCAGGCAAGAACACTGGAGTGGGTTGCTATTCCCTTCTCCAGGGGATCTTCCTGACCAAGGGATTGAATCTAGGTCTCCTGCATTGCAGGCAGATTCTTTACCTACTTAGCTGCCAGGGAGGGTGCAGGTCTTGTGCTGGTGAGGGGTATGAATTATTACATTTCTGGGTACAGTTTGGTGGTATGCATTATATCATGTTTAGAATATACTCTTTGACTCATAGCTATATTGCCATATAGTAGCACCAAGGAAAAAACAAGAAATACAGAAAAATATTTGGTTGGCCAAAAAGTTCCTCCTAGTTTTCCACACCATGATACAGGAAAACCTGAATGAACTTTTTGGCCAACCAGTAATAATAGCTCAGTGATATTTATCACTCACCAGGCAATTTGCAGCAGTAACTCATGTAACTTTCACATTTCTGGGAGGTAGTATTCTTATTCCCTTTTATGGATAAAGTGATTGAGGAACAGAGATGATAAGTGACCAGCCCAATGTTATTCAGCTGCTAAAGAGTAGAACGATTTATCTATTTTATACATACTATTGATAGTGTATATGGGTCAATCCCAACCTCCTGATTCATCCCACACGCCCCCTTTTCCCGTTGGTATCCATATGTTTGTTCTCCACGTCTGTCTCTTTCTGCTCTGCAAATAAGATCGCCTGTACCAGTTTTTTTCAGATTCCACATATGTGGATTCATATATGACGTTTGTTTTTCTGACTTACCTCACTCTGTACAGCTGTCTGTATAAAAATAGATAACTAATGAGAACTTAACTGTAGCACACAGGGAACTCCACTCAGGGCTCTGGCATGACCTAAATGGGAAGGAAATATAAAAAAACACCAAGCAGGTGATATATGCGTGCGTACAGCCAATTCCCTTTGCGGTTCAGTGGAAACTGGCACGCTGGCAACAACTATGTGTGTGTGCGGTGGCTTCAGGCGCGTCCAGCTCTTTGTGACCCTGTGGACTGCAGCCCGCCAGACTCTTCAGTCCGGGGAGTTTTCCAGGCTAGGATACTGGAGTGGGTTGCCGTTTCTTACTCCAGGGGAAGCAACTATACTCCAATAAAAATTATTTGTTTAAAAAGGGTAGAATGAGGTTTCAAATCCAGCCAGTCTTGTACCAGAGGCTGTACCCCAAAAACTGATCTATGCTGCCGTACACAGGAAGATGGCCACAGAGTCATTTTATAATAAAATATATCTTGTAAATTATAAAATATCCATAAGAAGGAATATCATGTGGTAGTTAAATTCATAACAAAGGGTATTTTTTGACACAGGAAAAGGATATTTCATTAAGTAGTAACTGCAGGATATGAGATGATTTTAAATCTTAATTATTTGAAAATATACAGAAAGAAGTATGAACCAATGCTAAAGTATGATGCACATTGAAATTATTTTCTTCTTTTCAATCTTTATTTTATAAATGTTCCATAATAAGAATACATTACTTTCGAAATCACAAAAATTTTTTCAAAGAAAGAAATAAAAAGAAAAAATTTTAAACTATGAAAAGGCAAAAAAAAAAAAATGGTATCAACATCAAACATAACACTAAAAATACCCACCAAACTTCCTGCATGTAAGAAATGTAATACTTATATCCTCCTAAAGGATATATAAGGATTGATAAGTTCCAGGGTGTCTATGACATTTATCAAAATAACTTGTATTTTGGAAATGACTTTCATAATTTAATATCTTAATATTTTAAATCCATAATAAGTACATTAAAAATTTTATATCTACACATACAGAAAGCAATTCAAATACCAGCTAATCTGTATACTAGGATCTTCACATGTTGCATATTGAAACTCAGAGTTAAATCATCAGAATGCTGAAGAATCTTGTAATAACTTCATCTCTTAGTAGACCTTGAAAATTTTAAAAATAAAACAAACAAAAAAAACCCCCAGCAGTGTCCTTTACAAGGCTGTGTTGACCTTAACCAGAGGAAATGAAGCTTTTCATTCTACCTGAGCTAAGAGGATAGCGTTAATAATAAAATTGTGTGTGTGTGTGGTCAAGGGATTGATTTCAAACCATAGATGTATTCTAATTTGGTTATGATCAGTTGGTACTTTCCACTCATACTATATTCCTTTGTCTTTACATTATTGAGTATTCTCTCTCAGAAATTACATCAAAGCCTTGGTGATGTTATTCCTAAGGCTTAATGTGAATGGTTTGGCAGGTTAGCCATTAAACTTCATTGAGGATTCAGGCATTAACAATATTCTAAGAGCCTCTTGATGAAAGTGAAAGAGGAGACTGAAAAAGTTGGCTTAAAACTCAGCATTCAGAAAACTAAAATCATGGCATCTGGTCCCATCATTTCATGGCAAATAGATGGGGAAACAGTGACAGACTTTATTTTTCGGGGCTCCAAAATCACTGCAGATGGTGACTGTAGCCATGAAATTAAAAGATGCTTACTTCTTAGAAGAAAAGTTATGACCAACCTAGACAGCATATTAAAAAGCAAAGACATTACTTTGCCAACAAAGGTCCATCTAGTCAAGGCTATGGTTTTTCCAGTGGTCATGTATGGATGTGAGAGTTGGACTATAAAGAAAGCTGAGCACAGGAGAATTGATGGTTTTGAACTGTGGTGTTGGAGAAGACTCTTGAGAGTCGCTTGGACAGCTAGGAGATCCAACCAGTCCATCCTAAAGGAAATCAGTCCTGAATATTTATTGGAAGGACTGATGCTGAAGCTGAAACTCCAATACTTTGGCCACCTGATGTGAAGAACTGACTTATTTGAAAAGACCCTGATGCTGGGAGGGATTGGGGGCAGGAGGAGAAGGGGCCGACAGAGGATGAGATGGCTGGATGGCATCACCGACTCGATGGACATGAGTTTGAGTAAACTCTGGGAGTTGGTGATGGACAGGGAGGCCTGGCGTGCTGCGGTCCATGGGGTCACAAAGAGTGGGACACGACTGAGTGACTGAACTGAACTGAGTGGCAATTAGTGAAAGAATTATTTGGGGCAGAGAGACTATCACACCTCTAGGAACCCTTCATAAAGACTTGCTCATTTAATCGTTCAGTACTTTTTGGAGATAGGCCTTGTTATCAACACTATTTTGGTAATGAGCAAACAATCCTTGTGACTTCTAAGTAACTTGCTCAAGGTTGCAGAACCTGTGAGGACTCAGGCAGGAATGCCAGCCCAGTTTTGTATGTCCCAAACCCCAAGCTCTTTCCACCATGTTTCACTTCCTTTACAGGTGTGTGTTACATAAGGAACATGTGTATCCTTTATGAGATATTCAGTCTTGATCTGTGAAACCCAATGTACCCATTTTTGTATTCTCTCTCAATTTGTATTGTAATTAGTCAAGCAAAAGATCGGTTGGATTAGCATCAAAATTCAACACAGATTTGAGTTCACCGAGTCCATTTAGCTTAGGCGTCTGGATTGTATAAAACTTTGAAATTTGGGAGTTTTTCTATGGTCATGTGAGTATAGACACACTTCTTCCTTTTTAACAAGTATTAATGAGTACTTACTATGTGGGAGGCATTGACTTTAGTGATATAGTGATGAGCAAGATAAACGTAGCTCCTAACTTGTGAAAAACTTAGTTCTAAAAAGAAAAAGGTCAATATTTAAAAATTCAACGATATGAAGATTGCGATGAATATTTTGGTGTAGTGGGAGGGAAAAAAAGAAGCTTCAATGCACATACACACACACTTCCACACAGGCAGACTGTTCATTTGCAGGATAGTGGATTTTCTAGAAATACTGTTGTCCTCACCTTTGACCTTCGAGGTCAGATTTGGTGGACCAGACCTAAAATACAGTAGGCTGTCTTAGAAATTTGCATTTTTAGGTATTCCCCCTGAATTGCCTTGAAATTTTATTAATTCTACCTGGCTGAAAGTTCTAAGGAACACTGGTGACTACCAAGGGATATGAAAATTTGTTGAGCTAACTTTTTAGCTTGTATGCCAGAAGACTTTTAAAACCTCTTTCATTAAACAGGTATGCTTTTGTTTGAAAGTCTTGGCTGAATCTGTTTTATTCTATTTTCCAGAGAAACCGTTTGAAGCAGAATCCTAAACATGCATTGTAGAGAAATACCCCTGACAGTTTGGGTACTTATGTTTATAAGCGCCTCAGGTGAGTAGTTACAATCAATCACAAGCTTGCTTCATTGGTGTTCTAGAGAGAATATCAACGATTACTCATTTATGTGGAGCTGGTTACTAAAGATGTTGAACTTATTAAAATTTGTGATTTAAAATTTTACTTTAGAAAATTACCAACCCTTTGGTATTCCTGGAATAGAAAATGAGAGATTCATAGGAATGGAATCAAGTAAAAATTCATGTGAAGTTACTGATAAAGATTGAACCCTGTGAGTTTATGTAGAGAGCAGGAAGTGAAAACTTTTACTCTGAAATACATTTGTCTGAGATTAAAATTGGCTTCATGTTATTTGAAACCAAAGAGATCACAACCATCCTTGTCACTGATTTTTACAATTTTTCACATGTGATTTCCATCCCAGAGGGAGGTCATGTCATGGCTCCCTGGGGTTTCCCTGGTGGCTCAACAGTAAAGAATCTGCCTGCCAAGCAGAAGACCTGGGTTTGATCCCTAGGTGAGGAAATATCCCCTGGAGAAGGGAATGGCTGCCCACGCCAGTATTCTTGCCTGGGAAATCCCATGGACACCGGAGTCTGAGAGGCTACATTTCATAGGGTCACAACGAGTCGGACACGGCTGAAGCTACTTAGCGTGCACGCGTATGTAGGTTATATCTCTTAAACTGGAAAATATATCAAGCTTTTACTGACCTACCATCCTTTCAGGTGTCAGTTAAAACTAACACCCTCATTAACGCATGTATCACACCTTCTAAGTTGAAGTCCTGAGCTGTAAGTTAAAGACTTTGTAACAACCACCAGAAACAAGGTTGATGTTCATTAAGTGCTGTGCTTTGAGGTCGTTTTGACAGCCATGTTTTCAACTGAGCCACTTCCTCTCTACCTTGTGGTTAACAACACTGAATTAAAACCAGACAGTTGCTTTGGAAAATAAACCCTGACTATAGAGAAGGCACATACTTTGTATCCCCCCAGAGAACTGCTTTGTTCAACATAAGGGTTCTCATGTTCAAAATGCAGCCAGAGGGAACTTTCAGAAGACAGGATAGGAAAAAAGTCCATTCCTGCCTACTTTGAACTATTGGAAGTGAAGAAGGAGGGGAGAGGTGACTCAGGATGACCCAAAGGATCTGATAAATCCCTAAAGCCATAGTGTCTGGGTTAGTTGAGAAAGAGGGAAGGAGAGAGAAATCTCTGAAAGGAGAAGTGACCCAGATTTGAGTAAGCCAATATGAATTAATCATCAGTATGAATTATATGAGTCAATTATTGATTATCCGCATGATAACCTAGAGAAGTAATGGATTTACACATACATAGGCATACTTTTAACCATCCTCACCCTTGCCTGGGGAATGGTTAGGTAGACTGGTTGAGAACAAGATCCGTGAGACTTCTGATGGTTTAGGTGGGAAACTGAGGTTTCTAGGTTTCTTTTTCTCCCCATGGTGATGCCTCAACTAGGATGTTTCAGGGTAAATGTGGCAACATTGTGACCTTGCTGACTGTCATGTGTAACCTTTTCTTTCAAGAGACTACATGCATTTATTTGCCTTCCAGCTTCTGTAGGTTAAGTTCCAGTATTTTCCTGTTTGGGAGACGATGTTGGAAATTTTGTCTTCATTTACCTTCTGCAAGTGCCTTACTGTTAGAGAGATTGACCTCCTGTTTCTTAATGTCAGAAAGGTTGACCCTAAAATAAGAACCCACAGAAATGAGGCATCGAGTTTTCTCAGGATGTTCTTCCCAACCCAGCTTCTTCATCTGAAGCAAACTTATGTTGTCATTCTGTTTTTTTTTTTTCTTTTACTTTGCTAATCTTTAGAAGAAACTTGTACCTCACGTCTTCATATTACCGCAGTCGAAGGGGAACCTTTCTATCTGAAATATTGCTCGTCTTCACCGGAGCATGAGAAAAAAACAACCACCATAAAATGGTACAAAAATGAATCACATGGACCTGTTGACCTGAACTTGAGCAGTTCACCCAGAATTCTTTTGCGTGGTTATGTTTTGGAGTTTTGGCCAGTGGAGTTGACTGACAGTGGATCTTACTCCTTCCGAATGGGGTGAGTACACCTTCTCTTTGTGGTAGTATATTTCACAGAACTCTTGGACTTGGTTTGACAAATCAAATAAACAATAATAGAAGTCTGATTATCCATATGTTTTCTTCTTCCTGTTCTTCCTACAACATGAAGTAATATGTCATTGTTGAAAAATTGAATTAAATACTGCTCTATATTTATTTTCTTAGTAATGTTAATGAAAGGGGATTGCTTCAGTGTGACTTACTTGTAGTTGACCCTTGCCAAAGATAAGTGAGGCTTCAGTGAAATTCATTTTTTAATTCAGCTGTTCCTGTTGCCCAAAGTCACCAGTCAAAAGAATTAAGTGGTACAGGCTTCATGATGTTTCTAAGCATGAAGTGAAGGAGAACAGATTCCTGGGTGATGACCTCAGACTGGGGAGATGGGCTGGCATTGGGTAGACACTCTAATCCTGGTGGCCATAATTCTTTGGTGGCTCAGTGGTAAAGGATCCGTTTGCCAGTGCAGGAGACACAAGAGACACGGATTTGATCCCTGGATTGGGAAGATCCCCTGGAGAAGGGTATGGCAACCCACTCTAGTATTCTTGCCTGGGAAACACCATGGACAGAAGAGCATGGTGGGCTACAGTCCCCGGGGTTGCAAAGAGTCAGACATGATTGAGCGATGAACACACACACCCTAGTCCAGTTTCAGGGTTGACTGAGAGCCAGGGGGCAGTGCTGGTGAAAGATGTGCTGGTCAGACAGTCACAAACCTACCTCCCAGGGCAGTGAGAGGGGAGCATCCAATGGACTTTGCCCAGCCTTCTCAGGACTAAGCCTAGATAGTCTTCCAGGATACCTGTAGTCAAGAATCCTGAATTCTATGAAATGACGGACACTCACTGAACGTGTCAGTGATTATTACTGAACTTAAATCTCTTTATACTTTATTTGGTGAGATGGGGAAGGAGTAACTGGGACAAGAAATATTCTATGTGATGAATCGTTAGTGAGAACATGGGTGACAGTAGTGTTAATCTGGTACGTTTGTGATGTTGTGTATGTACTTATGTATACATGATATATATGTGGTTTTCTTTTAAATTAATTTATTTTTGTTTTTGGTTGAACTGGGTCTTCACTTCCTCTAGTTGCAGGGAGCAGGGGCTTCTCTCTAGTTGCAGGGAGCAGGCTTCTCATTGCATTGGCTTTTCTTGTCGCAGAGAATGGGTTCTAGGGCATGCGGGCTTCAGTGGTTGTGGCACATAGGGCATAGGTGCCCCATGGCATGTGAAATCTTCCCAGACTAGGGATTGAACCCATGTCCCCTACATTGCAATGTGAATTTGTAACCACTTGACCATCAGGGAAGTTCCATGTGTGGATTTTTATAGAGATTTGAGACTGACCTGTAGAAAATAGCTCAGGGCCAGGTACATGGTGATGCAGCACTGCTAGACATAATAGATATCTTTCACAAGCACCTCTGGAGTGAGTCCTGATTTATCATCAGAGCTCTCGAGAACTGAGTGAGACACCGCAGTGAAACCTTAATTGCACTCCTGTGGTTTTGCACAGAGTGAGGTCATTTGGGTTTGTTTTTACATATAGGAACTCTCAGGAGTCAGAAAGAAATCTTATTAACCTGTGAATGTTATGTGACGTTTTAGCAGGGGTGATTACAGAAGTGGGTTGCAGTTGGGTCTTTCCACACTAAGGTAGACTATATAACTCACAGTTGGGGTAGAAGAACAGGATTTGGGCATCCATGAACGAGTCTCTTTTTACAAAATAAGGGAACATTTTTTCACTGGATTAGTTACTGCAAAGTGGTATTTGAAAACTCCCTGTCCTAATGATAAAATAGCTCTAAACCTTTATTTTCTAGAAATGATACTCATGACTGGAAATTAAATGTCATCCCAAGAAGTAAACACAGCTGTTTTACTGAGAAGCTGGTAACGAGTAAAGCTGTGGAAGTTAAGAAATCTTTGCAGATAGCCTGTGAGCACAATTACTATCAACAACTGGTCAATAGAACGGTATTGTATAAGGTAGTGCTTTTAAAATACTTTAACTGAAGACAATAGAAAAGACAAAATCCCAGAAGCAGGGTCTGATGGCTGCGCAGCATTGTGGTCTCATAACATGTAACACACAAGCTGTGGGTCTGCACAGCTCAGCTGACTTGGCTGAGCTCCCACATCCATGTAGGATGCTCCAGGTTAGGCATTCAGTACACACGTTGACTCTGCATTGGCAGTCGGATTCTAAACCACTGGATCCACAGTGAAGCCCCTCTTTTTGCCTTTCTAATCAGCCCACTGTCTTCTGGTGAGGGACTTCAGCGGGGCTGGGTGGTCTGCTAGGAACATGATTCTCTGAGTAATTCTGCTCCCCCCTCCACTCCCCACCCCTAGGATGGGTAGTCCTGAGTGGAATTAGGCTGAAAGCATTAAGGAATAGTCGTGTGGGAAGTTTTGACCCAAACAGGGATATTTTTGTGGTAGTGGTTTCTTCTTCCTCTCTCTCTCTCCCCTTCCTCCTCCTCCCTCTCTTTGTGTGTGTAAGAGAGAGATTAAAAGGAAATGATAAAAGCATTTACAACATCCCCATACGCTATTTCCCAGAGAATATTAATAATGCATATGATGATACCAGAAATAGGATAGTATTTCTTTTTTCTCTTTTTTTATTGTTCACATATACCCTTTATTCCTCTTATCCTTGTTAACAATATACATACATAACCATATAATACAACAGTCATAACCAGGAAATTAGCACTGGTACAATATGCTTTTGAACTGTGGTGTTGGAGAAGACTCTTGAGAGTCCCTTGGACTGCAAGGAGATCAAAGCAGTTCATCCTAAAGGAGATCAGTCCTGGGTGTTCATTGGAAGGACTGATATTGAAGCTGAAACTCCAATACTTTGGCCACCTGATGCGAAGAGTTGATTCATTGGAAAAGACCCTGATGCTGGGAGGGATTGGGGGCAGGAGGAGAAGGGGACGACAGAGGATGAGATGGTTGGATGGCATCACCAACTAGATGGAAATGGGTTTGGGTGGACTCTGGGAGTTGGTGATGGACAGGGAGGCCTGGCCTGCTGCAGTTCATGGGGTTGCAAAGAATCAGACACGACTGAGCAACTGAACTGAACTAAACATTATTAACTAAACTACAGACCTCATTCTAATTCTACTAGTTTCTCTTTTTTGTTTCAGGGTCCAATTCACTGATGGGACTATATTTCATTGTTCCAGTAGAGGCAGTACCAAATCACTGAGACATTTGTTCAGAAATTGCTAGTTTTCATTCTCTTTCCCTCTTTCTCTAAAGATCTTTAACTTAGCATTTTAAATTCTTGTCATAGGATACCATTTTTACTCAAGGTATTTTAACTTGCTTTTTCTAAAACAGAACTGTACAAAGATGGAGAACAATCAAAACCCATTTTTAAAGAATGCAGAGTTTAAAGATCAGGGATATTATACCTGTGTGTTTTTCCTACATCATAATGGAAAACTATTCAACGTCACCAAAACCTTCAATATTACAATAATTGGAGGTAAGATAAATTTTAGAATCAGGAAGAAACAAATGTGTCTTCGTAAAATGGACTGTTTTCTTTCTTCTAAAGTCATACAGGAAGGCAGAGGCAACTTAGTTGGACTTGTGACCACATCACTAGTTCACATATAAGGGTCAAAATCATTTTGGCATCATCTTCCACTCTGAATAATTTTGCACTGATGGAGTGAGGGTGGGTAATGAAAGTTGATATAAGTGAACCTCTGATGTTCCCTCATTTGGTATTTCAGTACATTGTGAAATCTTTTATTAAGCGTCTGCTTTCACTCAATATTGCTTATTTAGCATCTATATTCAATAAACTGAGTATTCGGAGGTAAGAAAAGCAGGGAAATAGTAATTAGGTGAGAAATTAAGTGAGTAATGCACTGTTTTCAGGAATTTGATTATATATAGTCAGGAGAGGTTAACACCAAATCTGAACTCTGGACCCTGACACTGAATTAAATCTTGGAGACAGATTTTTAGGTGAAGTAGAAAGAAATAGCTTTATTACTTTGCCAGACAAAGGGAGCCATGGTGGGCTAATACTCTCCAGATTGTGTGTCTCCACCTGGAGGGTGTAGTGAGGAGTCATGGTTCAAAGAGGGCGTGGTCAGCCTGAGGACAGTCTTCTGATTGGTTGGTGGTGAGTGAGCATCAGCATGATCAACCCAGTTGTAACCAGTCTGAGGTCTACATTCTTGTGGGCAGCATACCATTGTCAACTTAAAAAATATTCACAACCTAAAAGTTGAGAGTGTTGAAGCCCAGAAGGCAGCATCTCAAGTAACCCTGAGAGAACTGCTCCAAGGAGGTGAATGGGGAGCCAGGTTAGAAGTTTTGCAACAAAGGGCAGATAATCTGAACCTCAAGAGTATTGTTAATTAAAGAAAACTAGATATCACAAGTTAAGGAATATAGCGCTTTTCTGTGTATGGGAAGATACAAGAATCTGGGCTCCCTGAAGTCATTACTTTGCTATGCACCTCTGCTTCTGTGATGGCTCAGCTGGTAAAGAATCTGCAATGTGGGAGGCCTAGGTTTGATCCCTGGGTTGGGAAGATCCCCTGGAGAAGGGAAAGGCTACCCACTCCAGTATTCTGGCCTGGAGAATGCCATGGATTGTATAGTCCATGGGGTTGCAAAGAGTGGACACAACTGAGCAACTTTCACTTCACTTCACTTCAGCTATCTGGGGCTGGTATCCTGTGTTTGCACATCTGGAGGTTCCTAAGGGTTCACCCTAGGGAGTGGCTGTAGCCTGATGACTGAGATGGCAGGCATGCTACTTCCTGAGTTCCCTCAGGGCTCACAAGCTTACATTAGTACTGTCCTCATTTGCTTAGTTGTGTCTGACTCTGTGCAACCCCATGGACTGTAGCCTGTCAGGCTCTTCAGTCCATGGGATCTCCCAGGCAAGAATACAGGAGTGGGTTGCTGTTTCCTAATTCAGGGATTAGGAGTCCCTAATTCTCAACCCAGGGATTGAATCTGGAGTGGGTTGCCATTTACTCCTCCAGGAGATCTTCTTGACCCAGGGATTGAATCTGTGTCTTTTGTGACTCCTGCATCAGCAGGTGGATTCTTTACCGCTAACACCATCTGGGAAGCCCTGGCTCACATTGGAGGGCTGCAATCTCTGATGAGGATAAGATGGTTGGATAGTATGACAGACTCAATGGTCATGAGTTTGAGCAAACTCCAGGAGATAGTGAAGGGCAGGGAAGCCTGACGCTCTGCAACCCATGGGGTTGCAGAGTTGAACATGGCTGAGCAACGGAACAACAACAGCAGCAGTCTCTGATGACTGTGATATCCTTTGTTAACTGGTGTGGCAGAAAGTATTCCATTTATCACTGCTAACTTCTCCCACCTGGTGGGGGTTTCAGTATTTGCAAAACAGCTCAAAGATACTGTTCTGTGTATTCCTTGAGGGGGAACCAGGACTCTGCCCCAGGGCTGTCTATTGTTTCTTGACTGTTCCTCCCTTGTCCTGCATCCTGGAAACTCAGGGAAGGTCCTAGAGGCTGAATGAAGCCAATTTCCTGTATTCAATAAATGGAGGACACAGAAAGGCTTTTGTGCCCAGAAGCCCCACTGGATCCTGCTCTGTATCAAGATGATAAGCCACATAGAAGCACCCCGGAATATGAAATCAGAGTCATCTGTGAGTTTCTAAGGGCTCAGAAAGAGTTCAGACGTAGAAGAGATGCTGGAGGCTATTTGAGCTGGTTCCTAGAGGCAAAGCATGAAGGACAGATAGGAGGACATGCTAGGGACTGTCCACTCAGGTGAGAACATGTAAGGAGCACAGGTGTGGCTGCAGAAGAAGCTTTACATTCTGGGATGATGACTTTTATTCTGGTTTACCATGAACCCAGACCCTATGTAATGGAAACACTGAAGCCTGGACTTGTAGGGTATTGGAGAGCTTGCTTGCTTGCTTGGAAAGTCTCTTCAGTCATGTCTAACTCTTTGCGATCACATGGACTGTAGCCTTCCAGGCTCCTCTATCTATGGGGACTCTCCAGGCAAGAATACTGGAGTGGATAGCCATTTCCTTCTCCAGGGCATCTTCCCAACCCAGGGATCTAACCCAGGTCTCCTGCATGGCAGGCAGGTTCTTTACCGTCTAAACCACCAGAGCACCGGAGCTGGAGACCTTAGAAGTAATTATTTAGTTAAATCCCATCCAGTGAAGATATCCTTCATATGGCTCAGCTAGTAATAGATCATTCAGTCTCTTCTTGGGAACTGCCATGGAAATGACCAAATCACTCAGCAGCTGGGTCGAGATTTTAATGCTTGATTGTCAATGAGTCTTTTTTTCCCATTGAGTCCAGTTCACAATGAACTGTGGGAAATCCTTAAAGAGATTGAAATACCAGACCACCTGACCTGCCTCTTGAGAAATCTGTATGCAGGTCAAGAAACAATAGTTAGAACTGGACATGGACTGGTTCCAAATCAGGAAAAGAGTACGTCAAGGCTGTATATTGTCACCCTGCTTATTTAACTTATATATCATGAGAAATGCTGGGCTGGATGAAACACAAGCTGGAATCAAGATTGCCGGGAGAAATATCAGTAACCTCAGATATGCAGATGACATCACCCTTATGGCAGAAACTGAAGAAGAACTAAAGAGCCTCTTGATGAAAGTGAAAGAGGAGAGTGAAAAAAGTGGCTTAAAACTCAACATTCAGACAACTAAGACCATGGCATCTGGTCCCATCACTTCATGGCAAATAGATGGGGAAACAATAGAAACAGTGAGAGACTTTATTTTGGGGGGCTCCAAAATCACTGCAGATGGTGACTACAGCCATGAAATTAAAAGACACTTACTCCTTGGAAGGAAAGTTATGACTAACCTGGATAGCATATTAAAAAACAGAGACATTGCTTTGCCAACAAAGGTCCATCTAGTCAAGGCTATGGTTTTTCCAGTAGTCATGTATGGATGTGAGAGTTGGACTATAAAGAAAGCTGAGTGCCAAAGAATTGATGCTTTTGAACTGTGGTGTTGGAGAAGACTCTTGAGAGTCACTTGGACAGCTAGGAGATCCAACCAGTCCATCCTAAAGGAGATCAGTCCTGAATATTCTTAGGAAGGACTGATGTTGAAGTTGAAACTCCAATACTTTGGCCACCTGATATGAAGAACTGACTCATTTGAAAAGACCCTGATGCTGGGAAAGATTGAAGGTGGGAGGAGAAGGGGATGACAGAGGATGAGACAGCTGGATGGCATCACCGACTCAATGGACATGAGTTTGAGTAAATTCCAGGAGTTGGTTATGGACAGGGAGGCCTGGTGTGCTGCAGTCCATGGGGTCACAAAGAGTTGGATACGACTGAGCGAATGAACTGAACTGAACTGACGCCTTCCTGTAGTTTCCACTTGTGGCTGTGGTTGCCTTCAGTAACTCCACAAATTAAATCTGGTCCCTTCTGCAAATGACAGCTCCTTCAAGTGTCTGAAGACAGGTGGCTTATCCACCCTTCTTCTTCTTTCCCAGGAAGCTGTAAACTCCTAGGTTGATTCATCCAACAAGGTCATGGGCTCACAGTTTCTAGAGCTCATTTACTTTAGCAGCATTTTCCCTCTTCTCTCCAACTGTCCACTTATATAGCTGTATTCCACGCATGCATTGTGAATGTACAAATTACCACAAACTTCCTGTCTTCAAACAACATAAATTTATTGTACAGTTTTGGAGGCCAAAAGCCTAAAATGGTTTCCCTGGGCTAAATTCCAGGTTTTGGTAGGATTGTGTTCATTCTAGAGACTGCAGGAGATATACCTTGCCTTCTCCAGCTTGTAGAGGTGCCTGCATCCTTGGCACACGCCACTTAGTCAGTGCCTTGCATCCAGTAAATCTATTTTGAGGCATTGAGGGCAGAGAGAAGGGAGAACACAAAGACAATTCCCGGTGAGTCTGCATCTTCTAGGTCTGGAGGTGTCATTGTCTTCTTGCATCTTCTGGCTTTTAGCTGTGCTGGGCAGAAGTCATAGGTGGAACTGAGGGGAGACCAAGTTCAGTAAGCTCTCTCCAGTTAGGTGAGCTTTGAGTTGATGGAAAGTGATGGAAAGGACAACAAGTATTCCCTGTCTCCCTTATCTAATGAAAATACAATAAAATAATAAATGTAAAGTGATGATTGTTAGAATGTTTGTTACCTGGAATGATAAGTATATTACAACAGATGTTGTAATACGTCTGTCTTAGCAAAGCTCCATGCAACACTAATGCATTTTTCTCTTCTTTATTCACTTTCAGACCACAGTAATATAATTCCAGCTCTTCTTGGACCAAAGATCGATGAAGTTAAAGTGAAATTAGGTATATTTTGGCATACATGTATTTTGGATTTATGAACGGGGGGCATAATTGAGTCTTTGAAGGCTAGATCTGGTTTTTTATTGATCAACATTGTGTTCCTAACACATGCCGTGTTTACTGGAGAATATTACAAAAGCAGGAAAACCTTGTCATTGTTTGAATGTTGTCCTTCTTAGTGACAGTTAAAATTAGCAATGTGTTCAAACGATTGTGGAAGTGCCTATGGTTTGCAGACCCGTGGTTTTAGTCACTTTCTATGTGGCTTTTCTCTAACAGTAACTGTTGTTTAGTCACTAAGTCATATCCAGCTCTTTGCAACCCCCTGGACGTGTAGACCTCTAGGCTCCTCTGTCCATGGGATTTTCCCGGCCAGAATACTAGAGTGGGTTGCCATTTCCTTCTCCGAATAGTAACTGTGGTCACTTTTAAATATGAAAACTCAATGAGAACTCTCTGGAGAAATTATTCAAACTTACTGTATGGTTTGAATATTTGATTAAGGGATTCACTTCGAATCAGTGGACTGACTTGACTGTTGTTTTTGCTATTCAAAAATTGCTGAGTTGTGTTGGATTCTTTTGTGAGCCTATGGGCTGTAGCCTGCCAGGTGCCTCTGTCCATGTCCTTCTCCAGGCAAGAAGACTAGACTGGGCAGCCATTCCCTCACCAGGGGATCTTCTGACCCAGGGATTGAACTTGTATCTCCTGCATTGGCAGGTGGATCCTTCACCCCTAAGCCACCAGAGAAGCCGCAGTTCACCCTGGAAGAACTGTGTTCCTCACTGTGCTTTCTGTCCAACTGTTGCTCTTGGTTTGCCTTGCACTTTGACATCTTTAACTTTTAGCTCATTCAATTTTTTGTTTTTTATCCATTTTGTTTTTCTAGAAGTGAGAGTGGGTGTTTTGGCCTGACACTACTTATTAGACTGTTGGTTGAAAAGAAAGTCCACTGGCCTTCCTAAGTTTTAATAATTAATTTCAACATAAATATTTGAATAGAGGCCAATTCATAGTTTGGTGATGACTTGTAATCACAACTGAATTTCTCTGCTTTATAAGTTTTTTTTTTTTAATGAGAACAAGGCATATTTTTCTTAGATGCAGCACTATATTAGCATTATATGTTACATTAATATACATTGGCTTTATTAATTTTAGCCTTTGGGAAACTTGAGTTTCTAAAATCAGGACGTTGGTTGTCAACTTTTACCTAGGAAAAGATATACAGCTCAACTGCTCTGCTTTGCTGAATGAAAAGGATATGATTTACTGGAACACCTGGATAAAAAATGGAAAGGATCCTAATGTACATGAAGGGAAAGTGACGAGAATTAGGTATGGATATGTGATATATTGTTGTTGTTCAGCTACTAAGTCATGTCTGAGTGTTTTGCAACCCCATGGGCTGTAGACCACCAGACTCCTCTGTCCATGGGATTTCCCAGGCAAGAATACTGGAGTGGGATGCCATTTCCTAATTTAGGAGATCTTCCCAGACCGAGAGTCAAACCCACATCTCCTGCATTGGCAGGTGGGATCTTTACCACTGAGCCACCAGGGAAGCCCCTGTATCATATATATATATATGAGATCAAAACACCAGACTCCTGAAAGACTGATAGGATGCTTGAGATGAATTTAACTTATTATTATAACTTACATATTTCATAACTACAATTCTCATATCTAAGCTGATGAATGATGCAGAAATTTATTGCTGAGATCTAAATTAGAAAGAGAAGGTTGGGACTTCCCTGGTAGTCCAGTGATCAAGTCTGCATGCTTCCAATGCAGGGGGTGCGGGTTCGTTCCCTGGTCAGGGAGCTAAGATCCTGCATGCCATGTGGTGTAGTCAATAAAGAAAAAGAACATCAGTGAGGCTTATTAGCACCGCCTTACAGAAGTAGCTTTTGGTGAGTCAGGATCTGATGGGGGTGAAGACTTTACCTTAGGCATCTTATGGAAGAGTGATTAACTAGGCCACTGTCATATGAACTTTGAACATTGTGTTAAATGCTTTGATTTTACAAATGTGCCAGAGAAAAGACCAGGTCAGGAGACTGGGACGTGTACAAGTCAGTCTGAGCCCCTTGAGTGCGCTCCGGACCCTTATTGCATGCCTGGCTGTGTTGCCTATGTGTCACCGTGGGGCCAGCTGGGTGTCCACAGGTGACGCAGCGCATCACCAGCACCTCTCTGAGAGTCCTGGAACACCCCCGGCCACAGGTAGGCCATCTATTAATACCGCTTCCTCTCCAGATCTGCCCCCTGGACTTCCCCTGTACACATTTTTCTTTGTTCTGTTTCTGGAAATTACGGAAACTTGAGGAGAACTGAAAATCACAAAGATGGAGAGAGCCCTTTCAATACAGTTTTTTGTGTGTTTGGGGATATCTTCACTGGGCATGACCTATGCTGACATAGACACTGCCTCCTGCTCTTTAGGGATAGTTCAGAGCTTCTTTGTATAACGTTCCTTATAGTGATTATCTATTTTTTTTTAGGGTAGTCCCACTAATCAATTATATTTGCTTTTTAAAATTTTTTTTGGAGTGTGGTTGCTTTATAGTGTCATGTTAGTTTCTACTGTACAGCAAGCCAAATCAGCTATACGTGTATATATATATATATATATATATATATATATATATATATAATTATCTTTCTTAAAGATGAAAATCAAGGAATTTCCTCAAGTCCAGGAGGGTCTCCAAAGATTGTCAGGTGTATATGATCACTCAAGAAGACACTGATTTATTTATTTATTATTATTTTTTTTTCATTTATTTTTATTAGTTGGAGGCTAATTACTTTACATCATTGCAGTGGTTTCTGTCATACATTGAAATGAATTAGCCATGGATTTACATGTATTCCCTATCCCGGTCCCCCCTCCCACCTCCCTCTCCACCCGATCCCTCTGGGTCTTCCCAGTGCACCAGGCCCGAGCACTTGTCTCATGCACCCAACCTGGGCTGGTGATCTGTTTCACCCTAGATAATATACGTGTTTCGATGCTGTTCTCTTGAAACATCCCACCCTCGCCTTCTCCCAGAGTCCACAAGTCTGTTCTATACATCGGAGTCTCTTTTTCTGTTTTGCATATAGGGTTATTGTTACCATCTTTCTAAATTCCATATATATGTGTTAGTATACTGTAATGGTCTTTATCTTTCTGGCTTACTTCGCTCTGTATAATGGGCTCCAGTTTCATCCATCTCATTAGAACTGATTCAAATGAATTCTTTTTAATGGCTGAGTAATATTCCATGGTGTAAATGTACCACAGCTTCCTCATCCATTCGTCTGCTGATGGGCATCTAGGTTGCTTCCATGTCCTGGCTATTATAAACAGTGCTGCGATGAACATTGGGGTACACGTGTCTCTTTCAGTTCTGGTTTCCTCGGTGTGTATGCCCAGAAGTGGGATTGCTGGGTCATATGGCAGTTCTATTTCCAGCTTTTTAAGAAATCTCCACACTGTTTTCCATAGTGGCTGTACTAATTTGCATTCCCACCAACAATGTAAGAGGGTTCCCTTTTATCCACACCCTCTCCAGCATTTATTGCTTGTAGACTTTTGGATAGCAGCCATCCTGACTGGTGTGTAATGGTACCTCATTGTGGTTTTGATTTGCATTTCTCTGATAATGAGTGATGTTGAGCATCTTTTCATGTGTTTGTTAGCCATCTGTATGTCTTCCTTGGAGAAATGTCTGTTCAGTTCTTTGGCCCATTTTTTGATTGGGTCATTTATTTTTCTGGAGTTGAGCTGGAGGAGTTGCTTGTATATTTTTGAGATTAGTCCTTTGTGTGTTGCTTCGTTTGCTATTATTTTCTCCCAATCTGAGGGCTGTCTTTTCACCTTGCTTATAGTTTCCTTTGTTGTGCAAAAGCTTTTAAGTTTCATTAGGTCCCATTTGTTTATTTTTGCTTTTATTTCTAAAATTCTGGGATGTGGGTCATAGAGGATCCTGCTGTGATTTATGTCGGAGAGTGTTTTGCCTATGTTCTCCTCTAGGAGTTTTATAGTTTCTGGTCTTACATTTAGATCTTTAATCCATTGTGAGTTTATTTTTGTGTATGGTGTTAGAAAGTGTTCTAGTTTCATTCTTTTACAGGTGGTTGACCAGTTTTCCCAGCACCACTTGTTAAAGAGGTTGTCTTTTTTCCATTGTATATCCTTGCCTCCTTTGTCAAAGATAAGGTGACCATAGGTTCGTGGATTTATCTCTGGGCTTTCTATTCTGTTCCATTGATCTATATTTCTGTCTTTGTGCCAGTACCATACTGTCTTGATGACTGTGGCTTTGTAGTATAGTCTGAAGTCAGGCAGATTGATTCCTCCAGTTCCATTCTTCTTTCTCAGGATTACTTTGGCTATTCGAGGTTTTTTGTATTTCCATACAAATTGTGAAATTATTCGTTCTAGTTCTGTGAAAAATACCATTGGTAGTTTGATAGGGATTGCACTGAATCTGTAGATTGCTTTGGGTAGTATAGCCATTTTGACAATATTGATTCTTCCAATCCATGAACACGGTATATTTCTCCATCTGTTTGTGTCCTCTTTGATTTCTTTCATCAGTGTTTTATAGTTTTCTATGTATAGGTCTTTTGTTTCTTTAGGTAGATATACTCCTAAGTATTTTATTCTTTTTGTTGCAATGGTGAATGGTATTGTTTCCTTAATTTCTCTTTCTGTTTTCTCATTGTTAGTGTATAGGAATGCAAGAGATTTCTGTGTGTTAATTTTATATCCTGCAACTTTACTGTATTCGTTGATTAGCTCTAGTAATTTTCTGGTAGAGTCTTTAGGATTTTCTATGTAGAGGATCATGTCATCTGCAAACAGAGAGAGTTTCACTTCTTCTTTTCCTATCTGGATTCCTTTTATTTCTTTTTCTGCTCTGATTGCTGTGGCCAAAACTTCCAAAACTATGTTGAATAGTAGTGGTGAGAGTGGGCACCCCTGTCTTGTTCCTGATTTCAGGGGAAATGCTTTCAATTTTTCACCATTGAGGGTGATGCTTGCTGTGGGTTTGTCATATATAGCTTTTATTATGTTGAGGTATGTTCCTTCTATTCCTGCTTTCTGGAGAGTTTTAATCATAAATGGATGTTGAATTTTGTCAAAGGCTTTTTCTGCATCTATTGAGATAATCATATGGTTTTTATCTTTCAATTTGTTAATGTGGTGTATTACATTGATTGATTTGCAGATATTAAAGAATCCTTGCATTCCTGGGATAAAGCCCACTTGGTCATGATGTATGATTTTTTAAATATGTTGTTGGATTCTGTTTGCTAGAATTTTGTTAAGGATTTTTGCATCTATGTTCATCAGTGATATTGGCCTGTAGTTTTCTTTTTTTGTGGCATCTTTGTCTGGTTTTGGAATTAGGGTGATGGTGGCCTCATAGAATGAGTTTGGAAGTTTACCTTCTTCTGCAATTTTCTGGAAGAGTTTGAGTAAGATAGGTGTTAGCTCTTCTCTAAATTTTTGGTAGAATTCAGCTGTGAAGCCATCTGGTCCTGGGCTTTTGTTTGCTGGAAGATTTCTGATTACAGTTTCGATTTCCTTGCTTGTGATGGTTTTGTTAAGATCTTCTATTTCTTCCTGGTTCAGTTTTGGAAAGTTATACTTCTCTAAGAACTTGTCCATTTCTTCCAAGTTGTCCATTTTATTGGCATAGAGCTGCTGGTAGTAGTCTCTTATGATCCTTTGTATTTCGGTGTTGTCTGTTGTGATCTCTCCATTTTCGTTTCTAATTTTGTTAATTTGGTTCTTCTCCCTTTGTTTCTTAATGAGTCTTGCTAATGGTTTGTCAATTTTGTTTATTTTTTCAAAAAACCTGCTTTTAGCTTTGTTAATTTTTGCTATGATCTCTTTAGTTTCTTTTTCATTTATTTCTGCCCTAATTTTTAAGATTTCTTTCCTTTTACTAACCCTGGGGTTCTTCATTTCTTCCTCCTCTAGTTGCTTTAGGTGTAGAGTTAGGTTATTTATTTGACTTTTTTCTTGTTTCTTGAGGTAGGCCTGTAATGCTATGAATCTTCCCCTTAGCACTGCCTTTACAGTGTCCCATAGGTTTTGGGTTGTTGTGGGAAACACTGATTTAAATGACCAATCACCTACCCCACAACATTTGTTGTTGGTCGATTGACATTGTTCCTCGTAATTATGGCAGCCTTTTCCTGGCAGTGTCCATCAGTGGAAATAAGAAACACAATAGGAGCAGGTAGAAACACCCAGCAGGGCAGTGGTTACGTGTGAATATCCAGGAGGCAGAGTTAGTGCAAAAAGTTCCAAATGGCATATAGTTTAATACTTGAGTATCCTATATTAAAGAACACGAGTTTGAGTAAATGCTGGGAGACTGTGGAGGACAGGGAAGCCTGGTGTGCTGCTGTCCTTCTGTCCATGGGGTTGCCGAAGAGTCGGACATGACTGAGTGACTGATCAACAGCAACAAAGGAATGGTTATGCTTTATTAAAACAAAACACCCTGAACTGATGGCCAGTTATTCATTTTTGCCTGCACCTGCCTTTGTGGGATCGTACTTCTCTGAACTGGAATTGAACCACCACCTCCTAAAGTGGAAGTGCTAAATCTTAACCACTGAACCACCTGGGAAGTCCCTCTATGGCCATTTAAATGGTTCTGAATGGTTTGGAGTCGTTACTGTCATTATTAAGGAAATTGTACACTCAGGTTTTAGTGAGCTGTGGTCGTGAGGTGTCTGTCACCTTAGCTACATTTTTGAGATTGTTCTGCTTTTTTATATGCACCATATATATATGTTATATATATATATTCTCTGACATCTTGCTGGCAGAGCTCAATTCTTGCTGACACATGTCTACAAGCTTCTTACAGTGCAAGGTGTATGCCCTCACCCAGAATCAGGTGTGAGATTGGTGCTCATGAAATGTTGGCTCAGCTGGACTGTGTGGCCCCCCGGCTGCTATATTTATCTTGTCCTCAGCATCTATTCCCCCACTGGATTCCTGCATTTCCCCCTTCCCATGGTCTATCGCTCATCTCTGGAGGCACAGAAAACCAACTCACCAAACTTACAGAAATGGAGCTTAAACTCAGCTAAGAGCCTAAGTAAAGCTGAATCTTTCTTTATAGTGGGTGCATGAACTTATGTCTTCTATTTTGGCTTCTCAGTAGTTTTTTGTGTCTTGTTTGTGGATTTTACATTGATGTTGAAAGAAAGATGAAAGTGTTAGTCGCTCAGTTGTGTTTGACTCTTTGTGACCCCATGGACTCTTTATCCCAGGCTCCTCTGTCCATGGAATTCTCCAAGCAAGAATACTGAAGGGGGTTTCCATTTCCTTCACCAGGGGATCTTAGCAACCCAGAGATCAAACCAAGGTCCTCCTGCATTTCAGGCAAATTCTTTACCATATGAGCCACCAGGGAAGCTATTTCTGGTTTGGTGACTTCCGTAGAGAATTGGTTCTAAAATGAAACTGAGAGAGTTGGAGGCTGCAGTGGATCCCGCGTCCAGCTGCTGGAGGCCTGGCAGGTGAATGACTATACTTGGGAGTGCTGGTTGACCCTAAGCCTATAGAGCCTGCCACTGGCAAGAGGCAGATAGCAAGAGCATTTGCCTTGTATCAAAGACAGGACATCTTGAGTCCCTTCAGAAGAAAAAGACAGCTGGCTGCACTGGTGGTCTCTAGTCATTTTCTGACACTCTCTGAGCAGCTTAACTGGTATTTCTCATGTGCTTGGAGGATGTCTGAAAATAGTGTTGTGTTTTAATTTAAATGCTGAACAAAATAAGAGTTATCATTAGGATTGTGAGGACAAGCTTGATTTGCATCTGCATCTGTACTAATGATTCGCAGCCTTGTCACTGCTGGCAGAGACTTCACGGTGAGAGGGACACTGGATAGTCGGGACAGGAGGAATAGATGAAACACAGGCACACCTTGGAGCTATTGCGGGTTTGGTTCCAGACCACCACCATAAAGCAAATACCGCAATAAAGTGAGTCCCATGAATTTTTTGGTTTCCCAATGCACATGAAATTATTTACACTATACTGTGGGCTTCCCCAATGACTCAGTGGTAAAGAATCTAGGAGATGCAGGAGATGCAGGTTTGATCCCTAGATTGGGAAGATCCCCTGGAGAAGGAAATGGCAACCCATTCCAGTATTCTTACCTGGGAAATCGCATGGACAGAGGAGCCTGGCGGGCTACAGTCCATGGGGTTGCAAAAGAGTCAGACATGACTGAGCGACTGGGCATGTACTGTACTCCATTAAGTGTGCAATGGCATTAAATGTAAAGAACAATGTCCATACCCTATTTTAAAATACGTGATGGCTAAAATAGATGCTCAAACCATTACGAGAGTAGCATCAAAGATCCCTGATCACAGATCCCCTAACAAATATAATGATAATGAAAAAATGTGAATTTCTGAGAATTACCAAAATGCGACACAGAGACATAAAGTGAGCAAATGCTGTTGGGAAAATGGCAGCCAGAGACTTGCTTGATTTTGTAAAAAGTGCAGGATCTGCAAAGTGCAATAAAGCAAAGTTCAGTAAAATGCAGTATGCCTGCATTTGAGAGAATATTTTCTTGTATTTTCAACTGAACATCGTCATCTTCCAGGCATTTTAGTTCTAGGCAGCACCTGCCCCAGATGGTCTCAGGAGGACTGACATCACCAGGGAGCAGGAAGCTCACACTTGAACAGAACTCAGCAGAAAGCTAAGATCTCTGAAGTCCATAGAGCATTGCTTTTTACAGACGTATTTGTGCATACAGATTCCTCTCTCATGGGTCATGTTGCTGGTAACGGCACACAGCCTATTGTTAAACCATGTTCCTCTCTTACAGGACTTCAGAAGGCAAATGGCTTGCTTCTACAATACTGAGGATTGAGAACATAAATACAAGAAATCTAAACTTTGCATACAATTGCACTGCAGCCAACCAGGGAGGCATCGACACCAAAAGCTTCCTCTTGCTGGTAGAAGGTGTGAGAAATTTTATTTTTGGAAGTCGGTGCAAACCTAGAACGCTGCAACTGAGAGGCCCGTCATAGCTCATCACTTCCTCACCTTACAAACCAGGAAGCAAGCTCCTGAGAGGGGAAGGGTCTGACTTATCACAGGTGTTCAGTGGCAGAGCGGGTGCTCAGCCTTCGCTGCTGTCCTTTGTGAGGAATGAAAGCCTCAGGTCTATCTTTGCTCTCAGTCATATTCCAATCCTATGCAGCAGCCAGGTGCCCGGAGCAGGGAGGTAGGTGGAGCTCAGGGTTGAAGATGCTGGTGGGCAAGGATCGTGGGGGAGGTAGTCTGAACAGCTCCGCCACACTCTGGATAACCAGAGGGAAGTTTGCAGCTGGGCGGAGGATGAGGCCAGTGGTCCTGCCTCCATCCTAACTCAGCGGGGCTGTGGGCACAGGAGCCCTTGGCCGGTCCTTCATTCAACAAAGGCGAACTTAGGTTTTCCTCCTTTGGGCCAGTCCCTGGTCTTGGCATGTGGACAGTTATTTGATGACTGATCACTGGACTCTTCAGGTGTTTCAGTACCTATCTGATGGAGTATTCCAGAATCACCCACCTCCATGTTGGGTGTCCCTGGTGGCTCAGTCGGTAAGGAATCCACCTGCAATGCAGGAGACCTGCATTCCATCCCTGGGTTAGGAAGATCACCTGAAGAAGGAAATGGCAATGTACTCCAATATTCTTGCCTAGTAAATCCATGGACAAAGGAGCTGGCAAGCTACAGTCCATGGAGTCTCAAAAAGTGAGACATGAGTTAACAACTAAACAACCACCACCACCAACTCCAACCTCCACCAAAACAGTCCAGCCCCAGGACATGAACTCAGGAGATGCTCAGAAGTGGCTGCTCAGACAGCGGTGCACTGTCCTAGGTCAGCACAAGGCTGTGCTATCTCTGCCGTAAAAGTTTCTACCCTGACCTTATCTTCTTCCCCTGGGCTCACAGATATTACCTAGGGAATTTGGTCTTTGACGCCATCATTTCCCCTGGAGGAGTGTTTGGGCCAGCATGAAAGTGTATGCATTGTGTGATACAGTTGCATTCTTCCTTTCAGAGATGCAGGAACCTCAGGGCCTATGTTTATCCAGAGTTAGCTTATGAAGCAACAGCATTTGCTTTTGTTGTTAAGCTGCTTAGTCCTGTCTGACTGTGACCCCATGGACTATAGCCCATCAGGCTCCTCTGTCCATGGGATTCACCAAGCAGGAATACTGGAGAGGCTTGCCATTTCCTCCTCCAGGGGAATTTTCCTGGCCCAGGGATCAAATTCAGGTCTTCTGCACTGGCAGATGGGTTCTTTACCACTGAGCCACCAGGGAAGCCCTGTGTTTGCTTACTTACATCCTAATAGTTACTTTTACTGGAAAGATAATCCCTAAAATTGTGTCAAGATGACAAGAGCTTTGTGTATGTTTATACTCTTTGACCCAGAAATCAATCCCACCACCATTAGAATGTACTTGAGGAAAATAATCAGAAACATAGGTAAAGGTTTATACATATATTCATTGCAACATTATGTATATTTATGAAAAATTGGAGTTGATCTAAATATTGGGATGGCATAAATTATAATTGTAAGATGTAGAAAAATGCTCATAATATAATGTTAAGCAATAAAGAGTGATCACCATGTGTATCCAATTAAATAAATGTTTTCAGGGGAAAAAAAATCTAGAAAGAAATGTACTAGTGTGTTGGCAGTGGCCATGGTCACACTGTGGAATGGGTATTAAAAATTATTCTATTGGGATTTCCCTCCTGGTCTAGTGATTGGGACTCCAAACTTCCAATGCAGGGGTGTGAGTTCTGTCCCTGGTTGGAGAACTAAGATTCCTCATGCTGTGTGGCCAAAAAATTAAAATTAAAAAAAAAAATAAAGTGTGCAACTTTAAAAGTTTTGAACAGATTTATTTAAAAAATTATTCTGTCCTTTATACCTTTATGTGTTATGTTGTCCGTAATGAGCATAAATTTAGGAAAGGTAACTTTTTTTTCTCAAAGGACATTTTCATATAAAAATATGCAAAAATTCTCAGAGCTGAGTGCCAGGTAATGTGTTCACTATTTATTTGTAATATTTAACCCACCTTCAAAACAGCAGCCCTGTAAGTGAAGGAGAAAATGTTCCTAGCTTCCTTGCTGTCCTGTGTGTACAGATAAGTCGCTAAGAGTTTAGGGCATCAGTGACTTTCTCCGGGTCACAGAATAGGTGATGGGTCCAGGCTGGAGCCCACGTGCTGTCACCTGGGCACTCCGTCTGTCAAGGTGACCGGGGAGTAAGGGGTGGGGGAGGGGTGAATTGGAAGGTTGGGATTGACACGTACATACCGCTGTGTATCAGATAGATAACAAATAAGGATCTGCTGTATACCACAGGGCACGCTACTCAGCATTCTGTGATGGTCTATGTGAGAAGAGAACCTGAAGAAGGGTGCATTTATGTGTACACAGAACAGACTCACTTTGCTGTGCGCCTGGGCCTAGCATAACAGTGTCAATCAACTGTGCTTCAGTTAAAATATAGTGAGTGCCCTTTGCAGAGACACAGGTGGGCCTAGACAGTCATACACAGTGAAGTCAGAAAGAGGAAAACAAACACCGCACATTCATATATGAGTGCAGTGTAGAAAACTGGTATGGATGATCCCTGTAGAGTGGAAATAGAGACGCAAACGTAGAGAACGCATGTGTGGGTGCCAAGGGGGAAATGGGGCGTTGGGGTTGACACATGTAGACTCATAAGACAGATCACTAATGAGAACATACTGCATAGCACAGAGGACTCTGCCGAATGCTTTGCAGTGAGCTGAACGAGGAGGAAGTCCATATAGGAGGGGGTGTGTGTATATGTGTGGCCGATTCATTTTGCTGTACGGTAGAAACTAGCACCACATTGTAAATCAGCAAAAATTAATTAAAAATAAAATAAAAATTAATCTTCAATGATCCCACACCTTCACAATATGTTCCCAGCCCACGAACTGAGGTTTACATGTTGGTCCTTCTGCATTTCACCCTGGTGTCTCAGCACGCTAGAAATCTGACTTCCTCAGGTAGGAACAGACTTTCAGTTCACATCTCTGAATAATACCCTTGTACATGTTTCTGTGGGGCAGAAGGATCACCACAGGAGACTAAATGCAGGAGTTCAGAGTAACTGGATAGACAAGTTGACTTGTGTTAAAGGTTAAAGAAACTGACCACGGCAATGTGACAGTGAAAGACTCCAATGAAATTTCCCTGACTTATTATTCCCATTTTCTTTTTCTTTCTAGAAGACATGGTTGACATCCCCAGCCACGTCTTCACTAGAGGAATGATCGTAGCTGTCGTGATCTCAGTGGTGGCTGTCTGCCTTGTGACCGTGGGTGTCATTTATAGAGTTGACTTGGTTCTATTTTATAGACATTTCATGGGAAGAGACGAAACCTTAACAGGTAACGAATGTCTTAATGCTGGGATCTCTTGTCTTACAGTTTCATTAAGAAGCTATGTAAATACATATTAATCTTCACCTTATGTTGATTATATTGTTGAGTTAATGGCAGTAGAGGTTTTCCATAAGAAAAATTGATCTGATGAATCATCTGCTGTGGATGTTGTCTGTGCCACTTTTTCTTGTGCTTGCTTACCTGTTGCGAAAAATTATCCTCTAATCATTTCATGCATGTATGCTGTGTCCTTCTAAATGTCCTGTGAGGTGTTCTTGCCCAAGGACTGAGTGTCTGAACGTCATTGCTCACACACCATCTGGTGCCTTACACAAAGTACACATTCATTAAAGTCATTTAAATTGAGTTGAGTTGTATCATGGTTCATTATTTAAACCCAGCAAAGGAGGCTGCATGATGGACTTGCAAGAACCTTGAACTCCATACCACATGACCTGAGTTCCAGTCCCATAGATCTGCTATTTTTTTTTATCTGCTCCTCCTTCTATCTGGGGATTGTGGTTTCTCAGTTTTCCTAATTTTGAAGGTGACTAGAAGTCCTCAGGGTCTTCCGGCTCGCCCGCCACAGCACATTGCGTCCCGGGCCACCCCCCGCTCCAGGCACACCCAGCTCCTCATGCTCGCTCTCCCCTGGAGAAGGAAATGGCAAGCCACTCCAGTATCCTTGCCTGGAAAATCTCATGGACAGAGGAGCCTGGTGGGCTACAATCCATGGAGTCGCAGAGAGTCGGGCACGACTGCGTGACTAACACTTACACTAACAGAAGTCCTCAAAATTCAAAATAGAGGGGCTTCCCTTGTGATCCAGTGGCTAAGACTCCACGTTCCCAATGCAGGGGCTCCAGGTTTGATCCGGGTCTGGGAACTAGATTCCACATGCTGCAGCTAAAAAAAGAGATTCTGAATGTCACTACTAAAAAAAAAAATCCCACATGCCACACTGAAGATTCCAAGGGCTACAAATAAGGCCAGGGCAGCCAAATAAAGAGATAAATATTTTTTTTAATTCAAAATAGTTACCGAATTAGAAAGATATGTGTATAATCTGTTGCACTTGCTTTTGTATCTGTGTTGTGTGTGTGTAGCACATTCAAAGCTCAAAACACCTAAACTCTTAGAGATGATGCGTACATGTTCATCCAATGCCTGTTTCCCATCTCACTCCTATTGGTAGTATATTCAAATGAATATTTACCATATAGAATCATAGTTCACTCCTATTTGAAAGACAGATCTTGCCATGCTCTACACCCTATTCTGAACTTTGTTTTACTGTATCTTGGATACCCTTCCATCTTAGTTTGTAAAGCCTCTCATTTTTTCAGGTTGCACAATGTTTTATTTCTGTGGATTCGCCTTTGTTTACTGAGTCACCACTTGGACATTTGGGTTTCTTACAACCTTCCGTTATTGCAGAAGTGATGTAGTGGAGAAATTTGTATAGTTGTCATTTCGTTTGTATGCAGTGTAACTGAAGGAAAACTCCCTAAAGTAGAAGGACTAGAACTGTAGATGTGGATCCAGTTGTTTTGATTACATGTGTGCGCTTAGTCACTCAATCGTGTCCAACTCTCTAGCCCCATGGACTGTAGCCCACCAGGCTCCTCTGTCCATGGAATTTTCCAGGCAAGAATACTGGAGCCAGCTGTCATTTCCTACTCCAGGGGATCTTCCCAGGCCAGGAGTCAAACCTATGTCTCTTGTGTCTCCTGCATTGGCAGGTAGATTCATTTACCACTAAGTCACCAGGGAAGCCCAATGGAATCACTGGCTCTTACTTATACTGTTAGATAGCTGTATTTCACAACAACCTAAGAGTTATTCAAGAGACCCACTTACTGATTAAATTCAGAAGTAGTTCTATTTCTGCCAACTTTCTTACCTTTGATATGCATGTGAATTCTGCAATCTTTACCAAATGTTCAGTCTTTCATATATGCTCTATTCTGCAAAGCAGTTGCTCTAAACCCAACAATAAGTTCTGATTTGAACTGCTGAACCAGGATGCAAGAGGCAGAACTGGAGAATCTTTTCCCAGAGACAGAAAGGGTTGTTTTGTGAACCTGGACACTGCTGAAAATATTGGGCTGGGTCATTGAGCATAAGTGATACTCAACATAAAGAACATGGACCAAGAATGCTTTTACCCTATTCTTTTGAAATAAAGAAGCTGATAATATTTAGCCTTCAACTTAGTAGCAAATTCATTCACCCCAATAATGTACCCAAGCATAAATCCAATTCCTCTAGCATCTAACCAAATGTAATGGGATAAGGTAGACTATTTTACAACTACTCCACCTTCTTCCTCTACTGACCCCAACTAACATCATATCCATGGAGATCTCTGCTTACTCTTTGACCAAGTTACTTTATTTGTTTGTTTGTTGTTTTGTTTACACTGACTCATAGCTGCTAATGTGTTATTTGTCAGCTTTTTCAAGTTGTTGCATGTGTCCACTCTGTCTTCTCAAATAGATTGGATGAAAGCAGAATAGAGGAATGTGTATTATTTTTCAGTCATGCAGTTAGTAGAACGGTCTTTATTGTTTGCTAACACAGTCCCCTTGAACACTACTTTCCTATCCAGAATTAAATAGGAGCAGATGTCATCAATGAAAACCTTTAATAGACCAGAAGCTTTACTATTGCCATCTAAAGCATCACAGACCACATAGCATATGTTCCTATAGCATATGATTTCAATCATCTCCCATCACTTCTTTCCATTCACCAGGGTTAATACTCAGCTTTATTTTTATTCTCACTTTCAGGGGGTTCTTTTGAGGGTAGATTCAGATGGAAGTAGAATTAAATTATATTAATAGCAGTAGAATAAGCCAAGGTAAGATTTGCTTCCTGATCCTGGAAAGAGGGCATCTTTGGGCTCCTTGGCCTTGTATTTTCTTTAAATTCCCTTAGTGCCCTAACCTATAGGTTGCACTCCTTCCAGTTATGGCCTCTGGGGGCCTGGTCGAGGACTTGAACTCTTGATCTGTCTTCACAGGTCTCTGTGGCAAGAGACCTTTTTGGTGTCAAGCAGTGGGACTCTTAATGTACATGCTTAGGAAACACTTGCCAGTTGACTACTTGATTCCCATACAAGGTCTGAGTATGTTATTTTTTTGCTGGCCTATAATAATAATTGAGTGTATTCCTTGTTTGTTGACAGCTTCAAAAGTCAGGGATAAAGAGTGATGCATGAAAAACATGGAACCAAAGGATACTTGAGGGACCTTAGGCATTACCTAGTTTAAACCTTCTTGTTATATTTTTTAATTTGTTCTCTATCAAAAATGTTTTATTCTTTTATTTCATAGCTTCATCGAGGTATAATCAATATATGAAGAACTGCACAGAATTTTTTTTTTACTGGAGTATAATTGCTTAATTAGCAATTAGTGTGTTAGTTTCTGCTGTACCACGAAGTGAATCAGCTATATGGATACATGTGTCCCTTCCCTCTCGGACCACCCTCCACCAACGCGCCCCCCACCCCCCGACATCCCACCCCCAGGTCATCACAGAGCACAAAGCTGAGCTCCCCGTGCTAGACACAGCTTCCCACCAGCTCTCTGTCTCACACATAGTAGTGTATGTAATTTCATGTATGCGCTGCTTTGGATTGATGTGTTTGAATGTGAGGATGCTATACTTAACCTTCCTTTTTCAGTGATTCCATCCCCACCTTCCAGGACTTTCACTCCGTCTTTAGTTACATAAAGCCTTGTTTTCACACTAATGAAAAGGGTCAACCTTATCTCCTAGACGGAAAAACATATGATGCCTTTGTGTCCTACCTGAAAGAATGTCAGCCTGAACACGGGGAGGAGCACGCGTTTGCTGTGGAGACTTTGCCCAGGGTGCTGGAGAAACATTTTGGGTATAAGTTATGCATATTTGAAAGAGATGTGGTTCCTGGAGGAGGTAAGAAAGGGAATACCAGATAGAAAACTAGTGGAAGGGGACTTCCCTGGCCATCCAGTGGTTAAAACTCCTAGCTTCCAATAGGAGGTGTGGGTTCAATCCCTGGTCGGGGATCTAAGATCCCACATGCTGTGAGGTGCAGCTAAATAAGTAAATACACATTAATAATAAATAAACACAGTACATCCAATTTTAAAAGAAGGCACTTTGAAAAAATAAGGAAAATTAGTAGAAATGGTTTTTAAAAGATGCATGAGACAAGTGCTCAGGGCTGGTGCACTGGGAAGACCCAGAGAGATGGGATGGAGAGGGAGGCAGGAGGGGGAATCAGGATGGGGAACACATGTAAATCCATGGCTGATTCATATCAATGTATGGCAAAAACCACTACAATATTGTAAAGTAATTAACCTCCAACTAATAAAAATAAATGGGAAAAAATGCATTAAAAGAAAAATGTTAATATCTAAGTAGGTAAATATACAGAAGATGTGATGAGGTAATTTACACAGGAAAAAACAACGTGGTTCACAAACATGGAAAATGTTTAAACCTATTGGTATTTATAATAACATAAATCATTGTTGTTCAGTCACTTTAAAAAAAAAAAGATGAATAGCTTGCCTTATGAAATGCTCTCCTGTTTGCTTAAAAATGAAAGGAAAGTGAAAGTGAAAGTCACTTAGTCATGTCCAACTCTTTGTGACTTCATGGACAGTCTAGTCCATGGAATTCTCCAGGCCAGAATACTGGAGTGGGTAGCCGTTCCCCTGTAAACCAGAAATTATGAGCAACCTGCACTCCTTCCAAGTGTGGCCTCTCGGGGGCCTGGTCCAGGATTTGAACTCTTCATCTTACTTCACAGTTCTCTGACTCTGGAGAAAGGGAGCAAATGGTCCGTTTTCAGAACCAGGGCCAGAATTACTATCACAAAGCATTTAATAGACCAGACTAAGGACTTCCCTGGTGGCTCAGTGGTAAAGAATCTGCCGCCTGCCAGTCAGAAGATGCGGGTTCTGTCTCTGGGTGGGGAAGATCCCCTTTAGGAGAAAATGGCAACTCACTCCAATATTCTTGCCTGGAGAATCCCATGGACAGAGGAGCCTGGTGGGTTACAGTCCATGGAGTCACAAATCGTTGAACATGACTGAGCACAGGATGAATCCCTCTTTTGATGGGATTTTGTGTATAGCAAAACCAGTCCCTAATTTAATACGTGATTCTTTGGACAATAAACACAGGTTAATTCTTACCAAAAAATGTTTCTTCTTTATCATGTTGACATTGTGAGAAAATTGAAGTAGAAATTAGGAGTAGTGGTAAAGGTTAAATAAAATGAGATTGACAGTTCATACTATATTTTGATTGTGAAATTCAATTTTTAAATTAATATATGAATGCAAATGGCTATAACATGATACTGAAGTATATTACAGCTAAACTCAAAGAAATTTAGTAATACTTCCACATTTTCTCTGAAAGTCTTTCAGAGATTTGGAATCTGGTGTCAAATTATTCTAGATGCTAGTGCCTCACAAATGATGCAACACAAATGTCTTGATAGTTACCATCACTCGTTCATTCATTCAGCATTCACTGAGCACCATCCTTGTGCCCAACTCTAAGTTTGGGCATTTAGGATAGGGCAGTAAATAAGAAACAGTTGTGGGGACTTCCCTGGTGGTCCAGGGGTTAAGACTTTACCTTCCAATGCAGGGAGTGCAGATTCCATCCCTGGTTTGGGAGCTAAGATCCTATGCAGCGAAAATGCAAAGTGTAAAAAAGAACAATATCACAAAAAGTTCAATAAAGACTTTAAAAATGGTCCACATCAAAAAAAAAAAAGTCTTAAAAAAAGTGTTTTTTCCCTCCTAGTTTACAAATTAAGAAGGGAAATGTTACAAATTAGAAAGAGAAAATATTTTTAAATAACAAATAACCCCTCTAAGGAATAATATACCAAATTGTCAGATGCATTCGACACTGTGATACTTTTGTGTGTCACTTCTTTGTATCCAAGAAGACATGCTGTCACAAAGTATTTCTTCTTGACTTTGCATCCATTTTATTATTAATATATTTCCATTATTTTTTGGAATCATTTAAAGAACAGGTTTCTTCTTCATTCCTAAATAAAAATAGGAATGTTTGTATTGTTGTTCAGTTACTTAGTCATGTCCATCTCTTTGGGACCCCATAAACTGCAGCATGCCAGGCTTCCCTGTCCTTCACTATCTCCCAGAGTTTGCTCAAACTCATGTCCAAACTCATGCCATCCAACCATCTCATCCTCTGTTGCCGCCTTCTCCTCTTGCCCTCTTTTCCCAGCATCAGGGTCTTTTCCAATGAGTTGACTGAGTGGCCAAGTATTTGAAGCTTCAGCTTTAGCATCAGTTCTTCCAGTGAATATTCAGGGTTGATTTCCTTCAGAACTGACTGGTTTGATCTCCTTGCTGTCCAGGGGACTCCCAAGAGTCTTCTCCAGCACAACAGTGTGAAAGCATCAATTCTTAATTAGTTTGGAATAGAAACTCAGTCTGAGAAGGGCTAGATCTAGAACAGAGGTTGGCAGTCTGTCAACCACAGGGCAGGTCCAGTCTTTGAAACAGCCACACGCCTGTGCTCCAGTGCTGTCTGTGGCTGCTTTTGAGCTGCATCAGCAGAGCTGAGTAGCTGTGACAACGACAGTATGACCTGCAAGGCTAAAATATTTACCATTTGGCCCTTTACAGAAAAGGGTTTTCAATCTGTGGTCTAGAATAATGGCAGTGTGTGTGTGTGTGTGTGTGTGTGTGTGTGTTTTAAATATTTCAATTAGAATTTTAGCACATTCTTCCATGCATGTAAAGAGGCAAGATGGTGTCATGGTTAGGAATAGACACTCTGGAACCAGACCACTTGGGTTCAGATTCCAGTTCTGCCATTTACCAGCTGTGTGACTCTGGGCAAGTTACTTAACCACTCTGTGTTTTGGTTTCCTCATCGGTAAAATGAGGGTGAGTACAGTACTTTCTTCATAGGATCATTGTGCTGATTAAAGGAGTTCATATATGTAATGTGTTTAGAAGAAGGTATGGCACAGACTTGGAAAAAGAAATAACAACCCACTCCATTGTTCTTGCCTGGGAAATCCCATGGATAGAGGAGCCTTGGTGGGCTACTTCCATGGGGTTCAGAGTCGGATGTTACTGAACACACACACCAGGCACAGAATAAGGCTAAGTGGGTATTTATTATTATCTTTGTGCAGTTGATTGCTTCTTTTAATAGGCATATGGACTTCCCTGGCAGTCCAGTGGTTAAGATTCCTAGCTTCCAATGCAGGGGGTGTGATTTCTATCCCTGAGCAGGGAACTAAGATACCACATGCCACACAGCCAAAAAAAAATTAGTTAAAAAAATAGGCATATAAAACTGAGAATGACTTACCTTAAAATGTATTAGTGAAGTTGAGTTCAATAATGCAAAATAGGACTGTGCAACATGATTTTTATCTCATGTCCACCCTTTTGGTTTTCTTAAATTAACCTGCCACCTCTTGTATTTTCAGCTGTTGTTGATGAAATCCATTCATTGATAGAGAAAAGCCGAAGGCTGATCATTGTTCTCAGTAAAAGTTATATGTCTAGTGAAGTCAGGTATGAACTTGAAAGTGGACTCCATGAAGCACTGGTGGAAAGGAAAATTAAAATCATCTTAATTGAATTTACACCTATTGGAGACTTCAGATTTTTGCCTCAATCACTGAAGCTTTTGAAATCCCACAGAGTTCTGAAGTGGAAGGCAGATAAGTCTCTGTCTTATAACTCAAGGTTCTGGAAGAATCTTCTTTATCTAATGCCTGCAAAAGCAGTCAAACCCTGCAGAGATGAGTCAGAAGTCTTGCCTGTTCTTTTGAAGTCCTAATCTTCAGAAAAACTGAGCGGAAGAAAGAGCTCTTGGCAGTCTGAGGACTGAGTGTCTGAGCCTGTGGATAACAGAGGGCATTATTCAAATATTTAACTCTAGTCTGTGAACATCTTACTCACAGACTGAAGATGAACTTGGCATTTAGGTTGCCGGGGATAAGACTAAACATTCCTCTATGGCCGTGGACTTCCACTGTGTGTGTACTTAGTTGCTTAGTCTTGTCTGACTCTTTGACTCCATGGACTGTAGCCCACCAGGCTCCTCTGTCTATGGGGATTCTCTAGGCAAGAATATGGAGTAGGGTGCCATGCCCTCCTCCAGGGGATCTTCCCACCCCAGGGATCGAACCCAGGTCTCCCACACTGCTTGCATATTGTTTACTCTCTGAACTACTAGGGAAGCCCAAGAATACTGGAGTGGGTATCCTATCCCTTCTCCAGGGCAACTTCCCAACCCAGGAATCAAAGCAGGTTCTCCTCTATTGCAGGCAGATTCTTTACCAACTGAACCACCGGGGAAGTCCCTGGGCTCCCAGAGGACTGGGGAACTCAACAGAAATGTGCCTCCTGCTTCTCCTTCTGTAACTGGATGCAAGCAGTCTGCTCAGTCACACATTCAGCAACTGTGAGGTCAGTTGTTGTTCAGTTGCTCATTTGTGTGCAGTTCTTTGCAACCCCATGGACTGTAGCCCACTAGGCCTCCCTGTCTTTCACTAACTCCTGGAGTTTGCTCAAACTCATGTCCATTGGATCAATGATGCTACCCAACCATCTCATCTTTTGATGTGAGGCTGGACACAGTGCAAATAACTTATGCCTTAAAATAAGGGCAAGTTCTAAGAGCTTTTTAATGCTAAAAGTTGAGCTAAAGGATTTTAAGTTTACCTTGTGGTATTGTCTATGAGCCAGTGGGTGACACAGGAACTGGAATGGTGTCTCCAAGCTCTTGCAAGAGCTCAGTTCAGTTCAGTTCAGTTCAGTCGCTCAGTCGTGTCCGACTCTTTGCGACCCCATGAATCACAGCACGCCAGGCCTCTCTGTCCATCACCAACTCCCAGAATTTACTCAAACTCATGTCCATTGAGTCAGTGATGCCATCCAGCCATCTAACCCTCTGTCGTCCCCTTCTCCTCCTGGCCCCAATCCCTCCCAGCATCAGGGTCTTTTCCAATGAGTCAACTCTTCGCATGAGGTGGCCAAAGTATTGGAGTTTCAACTTCTGCATCAGTCCTTCCAATGAACACCCAGGACTGATCTCCTTTAGGATGGACTGATTGGATCTCCTTGCAGTCCAAGGGACTGTCAAGAGTCTTCTCCAACACCACAGTTCAAAAGCATCAATTCTTCGGTGCTCAGCTTTCTTCACACTCCAGCTCTGACATCCATACATGACCACTGGAAAAACCATAGCCTCACCTCTAAATACCTCAGTGCCTGGGATTTGGTGGTGGTGGGGATGCAGGGCTATGTGCAGGGCAGGGTGTGAGGTATGAGCTATTGAAACAGTGTTTCAACCTTAGGGCATCCTTAATTATCCTTGCTACAGTTGCAGGCCTACAGTTCTTGAAATCCCACTAAGATGCTACAGAGGGCTTGCTTAATTAGACCTATTTGTGGAAACTTCTTAAAAGGAAATGAGAACAACCTTTTATGCCAGATACAAATAATTTTCTGGGTTTTTTTTTAAAAAGTCTCAGACATTTAATGATTTTAAATGTTTAGACATGGGATAGGGACCAGATCAAATTAGTTATTCAGCAGCCAAAAAATTGATGGTTACTTGCTCGATTTTTTTTTTAACCTTTTATGTTGGGATATAGCTGGTTAACAATGTTGTGATAGATTCAGGTGGACAGCAAAGGGACTCAGCTATACATACACATGTATCCATTCTCCTGGAAACTCATCTCTCATCCAGGCTAACATAACACATAATGTTACATAACATTGAGCAGAGTTTGCTGTGCTATCCAGTAGGACCTTGTTGGTTATGCATTTTAAATATACTTGCTCAATTTTTAAAAGGTTACAAATCTAAAATGCCCCTCAGCTCAGCAGTAAAATAAATCAGCCTGTCAATTTACTTGATCCCTGGCAGGATCGAACTTGCCAGGGAGATGCAGGTTGCGTCCCTGGATTGAGAAGATACCCCAGAGAAAGAAATGGCAACCCACTCCAGTATTCTTGCTGGGAAACCCCATGAACAGAGGAGTCCAGTGGGCTGCATTCCATGGTGTCTCAAAGAGACCAGACTGAGCACACATGCAGAGACTTCGGATGGAGGGTCATGCACGGGAGTGTGCAGCCAAGACCCTTGAACTGGATCCTGGGTTTACTATGACCGTGACCTCTGGCATCTCCTCTAACTCACCTGTGATGAGTTTTCCTCATCAGTAAAATTAGAATTTATAAGAATTGTCCAGGGGGACTAAATGAATCAGTATAAATGAAGCACTTACATCAGTTACTGGCACAGAATTAACACTCTGTAAGTGTTGGTACTGCCACTTTTGTTATTACTAGTTGTTTTTCAGTTGCTAAGTCGTGTCTGACTCTCTGGGAGCTCATGGACTGCAGCTTGCCAGGCTTCCCTGTCCTTCACTGTCTCCCCAAGTTTGCTCAAATTCAGGTCCATTGAGTCAGTGACTTTAGGATATTCGTTTATTCAGAGAAGCATAGAGGAGAAGCATATCCTTAGGGCAGAGGATATTTCTTCACTGGACATGTGCAACTTTCAGTGTCTAAAGACATGCATCTGTCTCCTTAAAGTGAACCCAGTACTCTGGGCCTTCCTGGTGGCCTTAGTGGTAATGGCTGGACCTGAAAATCAGTGAGAGAGTGAGAGCTATCAGCCTTACAGAGAAAGGAAAGAGCTGGGTAAGCTTGGAAGCCTAGTTAGGATATATGGGTGCAGTATGACGGTTCCAAAAAAATTTAAAGCAGATACTGTTTAAAACAGCTGTGGTACTACTGTATATAAAATAGATAATCAGCTAGGACCTACAGTACAGTCTGGGAAATTATTCAATATCCTGTAATGACCTATGTGGGAGAAGAATCTGGAAAAGAATGGATATATGGATATGGATTCATGAATCACTTTGCTGTACATCTGAAACTAACACAATATTGTAAATCAATGATACTCCAACATAAAACAAAAAATTTAAAAAATAAAAGGCAACTTAAATAATAGAACAGCTGTGGTAGATACTACTGAAAATCAAAAATAAGATTTTCAGTATAAGAAAGGGATGTAACTTTTGTAGCACTTACAACTTTGCATGCCAGTTGTATGGTTAAAAAAGTAAGAGGATTTAATTACTAAGAAGATTTATATGTGAAAATATATGGTCATGAGAAATTTTATTCCTGTCGTCATTGTCTCTAACGCATAGAATGATTTGCTTTTTTATTATGTTTCTTTAAATACATTAAATGGATTTTGTAGTAAATGTGTTCAATGTATATATTAAATAGGTGCCTTAAAACACATTAATGAATCATTGATGTTGTGCTTTTATTTTTGAAAAATCTCAGCATCTTTTTCACTTATTTTAAAATTTCAGGGACTTCTCTGGTGGTCCAGTGGTTAGGACTTTGCCTCGCAACACAAGGAGTTTGAGTTTCATTCCTGATCAGAAAGTTAAGATCCCATATATCTCTCAGCCAAAAAGTCAAACATAAAACAAACAATATTGTAACAAATTCAGTAAAGACTTAAAAAAAAATGTCAACCCTTCATTCTCAATGTGGATTCCCACCTCTTTGATAAGATATGGGTTATTCACAATGAATGCTTACATCTATCTTTTTTTATGCCAAATTACTTTGTACATACCTTCTTAGTTTCACCTTCCATCCAGGAGCCAAAAATGAACTTACTGTCACAAGGCCACACAATGCCCAGCAGAGATATCAGGTTATTCACATGCCAGTTAACTCATGTGCGTATTTTAAAATGTAAGTGCCAACATTTTCAACCAGGACCAGTAAGTAACTGGCTGATAAAATAATGTCATTCTCTTTTATGACTTCATATGTCCTTAAATGTGGAGTCCATCTCAGAAAATCAGAGATGAGTCAGCCATCTAAGATGTACAAAGAAGCACTCCATGTGTGTCCATTATGTGCTGGAAGCATTTACTAAATTATTCTGACACTTTCTTAGAGCAGGTGGTGGTTTAGTCACTAAGTCGTGTCCAACTCATCGCCATCCCATGGACTGTGGCCCACCAGGCTCCTCTGCTCATGGGATTCTTCAGGCAAGAATAATGGAGTGGGTTGCGATTTCTTTCTTCACTTTGCCATTTCCTTCTCCACTCTTAGAGCAGAGAGAGACCTTATTACCCAATATTCTAAAGCCTGGAACCTGAGACACGACCAATCCAGGGACCAATCCTGAGCATATAGGTAGCTAGTGTGACAGGCTGGAGCAGAGAGGGTACTGTCCCCTCTCTTTGGAATCACCTATTGCACAGTGAGACTTGAGGGAAGCTGTGGGGACTTCTTGGGGAGATAACATTGTACCAGAGGGTCTAGACAGTCTTGCAGAGAGGAAGCAAGGCTGCTTAGGACTGGCTCATGCTATGGATGCTAAGTCACTTCAGTCGTGTCTGACTCTTTGTGACCACAGGGACTGCAGCCTGCCATGCTTCTACGTCCATAGGATTCTCCAGGCAAGAGTACTGGAGTGGGTTGCCATTTTCCTCTCCAGGGGGTCTTCCCAAGTTATGGCTCAGAGGAGGGCAAAAGAGTACAAGGGTTCTTCTAGGCTACTGTGGTAAGGATGGAGGGCAATAACACCCATGTTCTCCACAGGATGGGAATGTACACTCGACCATGGTACCTTCTAAGATACAGGGAGTCAGACCCCTGACAGGTACTAGGAGCGCATCCAATACGGATGCTAGCGGTTGACCAGCTGGCTCCAGAGGACTGTCAGCCAGGTGTAGAGAGGGTGAGCTCCCTGCAGCCATCATCAGCCTGCTTGTCTGA